TGGGAGTCGAACCGCGAGAATGCAGGATGGCAACTTGACACACCAACCACTCGGCTACACTGCCACGAGTACCCTTTGGTCACAGGACTACAATACTTTTATTTTTCGAATTAAGTATTGTTTTCGTGACTACCAGTAAATCAGTAATATGAGATGTATTCACCTAATTTCGTCTAAGGTGATGAAGAACTGGTAGAAGAAGAATTTTCCCACAATGATATGAGTTGAACTGATGCTTCCATTACATTTCGCATAACCATGTTTTCCAAAAGTTGTTCTAATCCAAGGTGGACTGCAGTTTCGATCTCGCATCGGTCTTATCAACACCCTCAAATTCAATGGAAACGCCAGCTCATCTCATATGATTGTGGGAAAATTCTTCTTCTAACAGTCCTTAATCACCTGAAACGAAATTGGGTGAATACATCTCATATTACTTATTTACTGATAGTCACAAAAAGAATACTTAATTGGAAAAATAAAATAATAAAGTAGTTTAATGAACCACTAACACATTTCAGTTCACATTCGTTAAATGCTTAAACGCATGTGTAAAAACCATTTCTATGGACTCAATCGTTTTTCGATTAGATAATGTTTTTTAGACACGACCTTTATTTTGGCTTTTGTTACTATATTGCCCTGCGTATAGTAAATGTTTAGATTTTAATAGTTGTCGACTCTCGTACGCCATTAAATTTCATAAAAAGTAGAAAAAGATTGGTTCTAAAATGTTTATTCGGCTTTTTTCATCAATGGAATCAATTACATGAATTTACACGTAGTAATCCCATCGGGTAGACCTTCAAGGGACGAATTAGACTTACTGTTCGCGACCTGCCTGTATCTAACAAAGGAATGGACCAATTGACTTCACTCAGTCTTTAAGCGTTCGATCAGTTGTGCTCATCCTAACTCGTTGAAGGTGATAAACTGGTAGTTGAATTCTCCCACATTTATATAAATAGATTTGGCTTTTCCATCGAATTTCATATGGCCTCACTTCTTAAAAAGGTGTACTCATCCAGGGTAGACTGCAGTTTCGGCCTCTCTTAGGTCTTATCAACACCCGCAGCTAGAGCCGAAGTATGAGAGTACAGCGTGCAATCTCAACACGCTAACCACTGGGCCACATTGTAACAAGCGCCCTCCGATCACAGGGCAGATGTGAGTTTTAAGGAAGGACAGGCGTCAGCTTTACCCATGAGTGGTAATAAAGTCAACTACCATTTTATCATCACTTCAAACGCCTAATCTCGAAAACCCACTCAAATGAAAAATTAAAACATTCCAGTCTGATTGATATTCGAGGTCAACATCATTCCAATCATCTTAATGTAATAAGGTACCTCCAGGCAGATGATCTAGAAACGTCCGGACTAGACTATGAGCAGCCTCGGGGCAATTTGGCAAAGTATATGACCTGAAAATACCAGAAATGTAGACATGCAAATGCCTTTCATTTTGTATGAAAGTTTTGATGAAGAGATTCAAAGTTCGATCAAACCAGAAGACGGCTAATTCCAACTGCAGTTATCTCTTTTTAATGCGATGTCCAAGTTGACGCAGTTCACGAGAAACGCTGCCTCGTTTCGAGTAGAAACAGGCTAAGACTTCATTTATCATATGACGAACATCATCAAAACTGGAACTTATGGGAGTAAGTCTAATGTCAACAGGGGATCAAAAAGGTTATCGACGTGGTTAAAACGACCTAATGTTAACTTGAGACTTTTACTAGAATGAGCTCCAACTCTGATAAAGTCCACCATACAATGACAACAGTTCAGCTCGTTTCTGCCCAAAACGAGGAGAGATGTCTCGCGGACTACGCCAATTTGAACATAGCATCACACCTAAACGGTTGCAGTGCAACGCTAATCAACCGTCGCCTTATGGTGAGATCGATTTGCGAACCTCGTCTTCATTCCCTTTGACAAGAAACGAAAGTCTCGCCCCCAACAACAGAAGACTAATAGAAACCTAGTTTCTCTTCGTATCTATCCTGCCTGTTTGATGCTAGGATTTAAAAAGCACGGGGGCCAGTTCAGTGATAGCATGGATTACGAGGGCTAGCTGGATCCAGCTGTGCCGAATCACTTCGTATGCAAATACATGATAAGGGGATTCATTGGTCGATCCCACCAGAATATGGTTTTTCGAAGAAAAACTGAGTTTCGAAGAATCCCTTAGTGACTTTAAATTTCGAAGGAATTTGAGGCCTCGCTGAAAACGGAAAGAGAATTGCCTGGAAGTAGTGAAAACTGTTGGATTATGCAAATAATTCCTCAGCCAGCCATCATGCAATCCCGATTAACCGATTGTAAGTCATCATCTGTCATGCGAGAAACGCAGTCAGAACGGGAAAGCGTCTCTTGCAAAAAAAACAGGCAAAATAAAATAAATCAAGAAAATTTCTTCTCTCGATTAACTATCATAAATCGGAAGAAGATTTTGGCCTAGTAGATAAATTTGCTGTGCACTAAGGTCCAAGGGAGTTGCTCCATCCCCAATCATAGTACAGTCTAGAAGCCCACCGTACACCATGTTCAGACCGCCCAACAGATTTCACTGAAGGCGGATGCGCCGCATAATGGTTTGCAAGTAATTTCGTACTATTACTAATTTCTTATGGGTACGTGGCTGAATGATAAAAGTTGGAAAAATCCTGGCAGTCCACGTGGAAACCAGTTGATCTGCTATTGCATATGACATTCCTGATGTGAATGATTTCTCTTACGACACTCTCCTAATGCGGCACACTGTTTATCCTGTTCAAACAATGTCGAGAGATCCTCGAGATTAAATAAACAGAGGGGCTACGTCCATGCATCGACCAATAGATGCCAGTTAAAGAGCAAGCCATTCAAGCGGCAAAGAGAATGCCAATTATGCATCTGAGCGATTTGGTTTACTCCTCGAAAGACCCTGAGTCCATCTCATTGCCGTCCAACTAGGACTGGTCAATTCAACCACGCCGGACTAGAAATACCCCCATCAGTGGGCAGGCAAAAGCTGAGTGCACAAACTGGAAGTGAAATCTGATTTGTCTAAAAATAATATGAAACGAAACTTTGACGCGGCGATAGATTAGTAACTGGCACAGGCAGAAATGCAGAAATTTAGTGGCTAAATAAAAGCAGATAGAGCAGCAGCTCGGACCAGTGTTGAAAATTAGGCGATATTTTTAGAGAAAACAAGAGAAATGGTACAGTTGAGGAAGGTTAGCTGAATAAGTCAACTAAAAATCCATATTGATATTTGATAGTTTCAGGGTTCAGCGCTCAACAAAAGGTCATTTCTTGCCATTGAGCAAAGTTTATCCAAAAGGAAAATGGGCATCAAAACCGAGAGATAGTCTAGAAAGGCATTCAAAAAAGGAAGAAAAAGACTAAATTGGTGCTCGCTCATGCAAGACTGAGAACCAAAGTAACAGCAGTTTCTGAGAGGGAAATAAGGCTATGATAAATCTCAGAGAGATTTGGCTGCCCAAAAAGCAGATAACAGTTTGATTCTCAAATTTAACGATAACGATAATAATAATAATAATAATTTCGTTGATGCTAAGTAAAAATAGATTATACGAATAAGTCATCTGGAGAATGGTGCTATTTAAGTGTAGGAAATAAATAAATAAATATTAAATGAATTAAAGTATGGATTGAGAGTGCAGAATCTTTTATAGATAATTCTTAATAAATGAAATAATCGATGGTTTTTAGAACCCAGAGGCCAACAAACCTAGACACCGAATAATTAGAAAACAGTGTAAGAAGGCCATCGGACAAAAGGAAGATTTCGCAAGGGTGATGAGCCATGTGCTTTTATTTCCCAGATCGACAGTGAGTTGGGAAACAATTATACAATGGGAGAAGTAAATTAATTTACAAAGACCATAGAAACGACATCAGACAAAATAATAAAAGTTTAATGATTTAGATAGTAGGATAGGAGCTGACTAGATATCTTCGACATGTGGCCATACATAATTTAGATTTGGATCGTGTTCTGTAATTAGTATTGCATCATGACTAGCCGACAGTGCCAGATCACCATATTCATCACCGGTCGATGGCAAAAACTCCGTCTCTTTTTCCAACCAGTCTAGACAACCAATACCACCATCTTCAACGAGGCCTTGGCGGAAAGCTGTTGATGCAGTATCGATATCAGCACCTCCGTCCTCATCCTCATCAATGTCAACCTGAGAAGCAGCGGTAGCACAGTGGCCATGCAACTCCTCAAGCAGCAAGCGAGTATCTGCAATACTTTTGGATACCTCAAAGGTTTTCTTGGATAAATCACAAGTTTGAGGCAAATTTTCGGAGGGTTTTATGTTGCCACAGCCAGTGGTAGGTGAAGAATCTCCTAAGTCTTTAATAGATCTGAACGGGGAATCATTTGCAACAGTAATATCGGCTATGCTTCCTGAAGAAGAAGGACCCACAGGTAAAGAAGAGTCAGGTGCGGGGCGAACGAAAATAGTTGTTGAAGATTGCCGGTCTGAAGGAGAAAGTGGCATGAAACTGCGCATCATCCGACCTAGGTCGCGAATATCAGAAGCTGAAAGAAAAGCAGAAAAAAAAGTTAAATTGCAAAAAACGGGCTAGAATACCAAGCAAATGTGCTAAAAGTTTCTCATATCGTCAAAATTTGCAGGCAAACGTGTATGCATAAAAAACAGACAGAAGCAGGCAAACAATAAATGCATCAACATTAGATTACATTAAATATAACACCCGAACAAATTGCGCTTAGAATTAATTCATATTGAGTCGTAAGTTAGGCAAAGGCACTCGCTAAATCCGAACGTTTTATGAGAAATTTAACATCAGCAGATGAAATAACCCTAACGTCATTACTTCTTAAAAGCATAAAACCTGTGGTGGCGAACAGCAATGACGAGCATGGCGAAATCAGGTTAGCTGAAAGGTAGAGCTAAGCACAATATTCGTTTATGCTTAGAATCGTTGCCAGCATAACTGAGCGTAAAATCCGCACTTAAGTTATTTGCCCAATTATAGAACTAAAAAGGCATAACATCTCTATCAAGATAGTTCAAATAGATCGAGATAAAAGAAAGACTAGGAAATAATCAAGCTTCTTTTGATGCCAGAGTAGAGAGTGAATAATTTTAGTATGAAGAAAAATTCATTGTATTTGAATATGCTCCCATTTCCATTTAACTTCCCAATTTAGTTACAATTCAGTCGATTTTGTGACCTCATTATTCAAGGTGTTCTGATACTTACCAACTTGTCATGCCCATGTTATATAGAGTCGATAATGTTAGTTTATTCTTATGATGCTGTTCTATTATTTTCTCAGCGCAAAAAACTATCCAGTTTGCTCAATTTTGTATTATGCGAAGGATGTTCCCCTTTCTTTGAGAATCCTACTAATATGCCAATTTATTAGCAACGGAAACACGAGGATAGACAGTTTCACCATTGCACATCTTTCTGAACCATCTTCCTATAAATATCATGTTGCCATCTGATAATCTGACAAAGAGAAGGTTAGGGAGTAGTAGTAGGAGGTCTGGTCATAGAGTTAACGAACCAAAATACATACGCCGTTCGAGTGAAGTGAAACCAGATGACTAATTTAAATTGAAATCTTAATGGATTTGAAAGGGAGAGGAACAGAATGTCTTTCATCAAAGAGCGAATTGTCAATTGGCATATATAAGGGAAATAAGTAGGATGAGAAAAACAAAATATACGAATCATTTTAAGGATCTTACAATTGGATAGTTGCTAAATCTTTGTTAAAATATAAAAATATTGAGGGACATCAAGCAAATGAACCACGTTATCAGTCATCCTCGAAGAGGCTATTAAACAAAAGCGACCAAGCATTACGAGCCAGTCATGTGGATAACTCCTTGACTCTAAAGGATGTAAATACTATGATACGTAGGAAGCGATTATCCCTTTAGATAAAATAAAGATTGTCAAAAGAAAGAGGGGCTCGATGAAATAAGTTCAATGAAATGAATGGCTGAGAGGCAGGTAGAGATTGTGACCTAGTTGCTTAATAGTTGGATTGTAAAAATCGGCAAAGGTAACCACGTTCTAAAATACTACTCAAAGGGATGAAAATCCAGAGTATATCAAGAAAAACGAGGGTGCAAATTGAGATATAGAGATTTGAACAAAGGAAATGAGAGTGACGGAGCAGAATAGACCGCTAAAAAAAAGGGTATCAGGACGATAACTAGCTATGACAAAATGGCAGCCCCACTCTGTTAAGAAGCCAACAAGACATTTGGAAATTTGCCCAGTCAACGATTGGATGTTGGGGGATAGCATAAAAAAAAATGACAGACAATAGGTTACAGATGAGGCAGTTTCAAGTCTTACTTTAAGCATGATTGTAGTTCAAAAGCGAAATTAAACGGATACAAAGAGAAGCTGGGCTTCGAAGAATCCTCTAGTACATTGATACTTGCATACCTTTCGTTTCGTTTGAGAAGGCGAGTGGAATGGATCCGAAAATTGGCCTCAGTGGATACCAAAGAAGGATATCTATGACTTGTGTGTTGAATTGTGCGAAGAAGACCTCGGTTCATCACCCTATGACCCGGATAACTCCACGCTAGTCATATGACAAACATCGCCAGGGCCAGAAATCAATATTCACGAATAATTACTAAAACACACTAAACCAAGAGAGGTGGAAAGCTAAGATTATACTTAATTCTTATATCTCACTTTGCGATCTTAATAAGGCATCCCGTAATTTGGCTTGTCCTACATACATGCGTACGAGTGAAATTGATGCAGGGAGAGGAGCTGTGGTCACAACTTTTCATAATGCAAACACAAGCCTTACGATTAATCTAAGCTATACACCCAGAGATCATATGAGGAAATAAGATAAAGGAGAAAATAATAGTGAGAATGAATAACCTGGTAATTAATAGTACCAATTTCACCTTTAATGGTAAATTATATGAGCAAACCGGAAGTTTAGCTATGCAATCGTGTTTGTATCCACATTGAACTTTTTCAAGAAACATTACTAGTTCCGAAATTTTTATGCAGATATATGGTTATCTACTTTGCCATCTAGCAACGTGACAGAGTGTTTGTAAGACCTTCTTAGGCTAATGAGCAGATTAGATAAGGTGACTAAATTCCGTATGGAGTTAAATAAGGACAATAGGCTAGCCTTGTTGGATGTCCTAATTATTAAATAAGGGAACAAACTGGATACGGATGTATGTAGGAAACTCACAAATGCGGGGTTCATCCTTAATTTCTTCTCGATTCATAGTTATGGTGTTAAAGTAGGAATAATGAAATCAATGATAATAAGGAGTTTACGTATAGTGGATGTAAATTATCAAGAACAGGACTTAGAAAGGCTAAGCAAAATCTTAGTTGAGAGCATTTATCCGGTAGGATTAATTGCTAACAATTTGAAAATATTGAGAAATAGGGTGAAGGAAAACCGTTATTTTGTACAAAACAAGACTCGTAATGCTACCACTCAGTCTGCTTTCAAGAAAGATAGGCGAATTACTGAGGAAATGGAAAGTCAAGATCATGCATAAAGAAATGCCAACGCTTATCACTGTCATGCTTCTTTTATGCAATCTTCAGACACCCTCAGCAGATCATATTGTTATAAGGTTTTGCGCTTGTGGTAGTGTTTATGTGGAAGGGACTTGTTGACCAATATATAAGAGGCTATCATAACATGAAAACCGCCTGCAAAAGTTTGTGGATTGAGGAATCGTAAGTGGCTGAACATGTAGTCACTACAGGACACCAGATAGTTGCCTAAATCCTAAAGTTTATCTGAACATGGATACTCCACAGCTAAGCGTAAGATCAGGAAGTCGATTGAAATTAGCAAAGCAAAGAACATTCTGAATAGGAGTGAGTGTAGAACATTATGCAAAAAATATCTGTGACTTTTGAATAGAATCAGAGTTAGACAATTAGGGAGAGAAAGAGAGGGAACAGAAATAGCCACTGAGTAACAGAAGACTTGACTAAGCTGGAATCTGGTCTCGTGAGTGTTGCATACACACAACGCACACACGTCCACAAAGCTAAAATATGCCTCAGGATTACATAATCATACGCTTGCTTATTTACATAGACAAAAGTTGTGATTACATCCGCTCCATTTGCTGTATTAATTTCACTCACATACATGCACGAAAGACAAGCATAGAGCAGCCAACAGATCATGGAATGCCTCATTAAGATCTCAAAGTGAGGTACAATTAAGTAGTGTCTCAGTTGACCACCTCTCTTAGTTTAGTGTTTCTTAGTGATTGTTTATGAATAAAGGTCTCTGGCTCCGACGATGTCCGTTACACGATGAACAACAACTCAACATGGAGTAATCTGGGTCGTAGGACGGTGAGCCAAGTTCTTCTTCGCACAATTTAAAAGACAAAACCCATAGACAACCATCCTTCGGCATCCTATCAGGCCAATTTACGAATATCTTCCATCAGCCCTTCCGAACGAAATGAAAGGTATGCCAGTACGAGATCAAACTGATTCTAAAGTTAAATAAATCACATTTATGGGAGAAACTAAATGATTTTTATAAACAACGTAGTCAAATAGCTGAGCATTTTGTAATGCCAAATAAACTCTAAAGATAATAAAAACGTGACCTGATTAAGTACAAAATTTATATACTCCAATTTTCTACAGAGCCTAAAAAGGAAAGGCTAGTATTTTTATAAAATACATGTTTTTACACCAGGTAGAGTAAGGGAATATTTTTTAAAGAGGATATCCCTGATCTAGAAAACTCACATTCAACTAATTCAAAGTATTAATACAGGAGTCGCATTCGAAAACTCATTTATAGCACCTCTATCGCTATAGAATTGAATAAAATAGTGACAACCCTTAAAGCACAGTATTGACATGCAAAATGGAAATATGAGCATAAATACCATGGCAGTCTCTGAGCAAAGAGACGTTGCTTAAATAAAATTCACCAAAAAGAGAACTAATTAAAAAACAAGAAAACTAAATTTAGAACAGTTTGCGAATATCCAAATGAGCATATAAAAAAAGGAACTTTATAGATGAAATAGGATTGAACAAATGAAAAATGAAACTATTGTAGGTAATAAGGACAAGTGGGAAATATGATGCTTGCGAGCCAAATACAATAAATAGCTAAAATAGCAATGCGAGGTATCATGATAAAAAAAAGTTCAAGTGTTAAGGGTTAAAAAAACTGACACGATACCTGGTCCGAGACGATGGAGATCTGATGAAGAGCTGGTAGAAGAGGGACTAAAAGGTTTTAAATTGGCGAACAGCGACTATCCTCACGCAGACTTCATGCTAGAAACTTCCATCAGTAGATATGCTGTTTATGTTATGATCTACCAGGTTCAACATTAGAATAAGCATAGTAAGGAAAGACAAAGATGCCACTCCAATTAAATAAAGGACAGATAAATATGTTCTACGCAAGTGCTTGATTGATTACGCAGCCAATCTTGAAAGAAAAGGCGAGGAAACTCGCAGAAGCAAAGAAGAATTAATAAATAGAACAGGAAGTTGAGTTGACAATAGTTATAGGGATATTAGGTTTGTTTTATAAAGAATACCAGTTATAGCGTAG